AAAGTTGGAATGAATTTTTAATGAAAAAATCTTAGTAGGCTTTGCAATCTTTGTCAGAAATATTTTTGACGTTTAAATGTCAGTGGTTTTCCTACTATTATTATTGTTTTATTTAAAATTTTGAAATGTCGAGTGAACGAGCGTAAATGCGATAGAACTTTATTTAAAATTTAATTTGAAAAACAATAATAATAGTAAGAAAAACACTGACATTTAAACGTCAAAAATATATCTGACAAACTTTCCAAAGCCTACTAAGATTTTTTCATTACAAAATTCATTCCAACTTTTGATCGACAACCCCAATGTTTAACGTGCAGTGTTTACTTTATTATTTTTTTTTCTCAAAAATTAGTCGTTTTTGGAAAAATTTTAGAGAGACAAAAAAGTTTTAGGATACTTTCATCTACCTAGATAAAATTTTTGTAATGTATTTATCATCTGCATAAAAAAAATATTAGCAAAAATGTGAAGGGGGTGGTAACGTTTAGTAATTTAGAAGGGTAGGTTGAAAGTACAAGTAGGGTCAAAACATGCCCTATTATGAGTTAAACATATTCCCCAAATTTCATTTTCCTAGCGTTTATGGTTTTTGAGAAAAACAAATTAAACCAAAATTTGCCACCATTTTTGGAGGGGTGTAGCTCCTTAGGGGAGCCGAAGTCGCCCATGGTTCATATATTAAAGTACCCTTAAAATTCGCTAAAGAATCACCCCTTGAAGTTTGTTGCAGTCATTCAGATACACCCTGTATATTGTATATTCTTATATTCTCAACCATCGCTGTGATAGCGTGTATAATATGATGATTGATGATAGTATAATATAATCTGCGCTTCTAACTTCTACAGGGTTTTCCAATAAGAGGTGTTATTTTGATACTCAAAGAAAAATGCCATTTTTTAGTATAAATGATCGGATGTTTATTTCATTATAAAGAAGAAGGTATGCCGTTAATAGTGGAAAATAACACTAGGCAAATGACCACCACGACCACGCTTACAGGACAATATCCTTTCCATGAAATTTTCCATAACCAAATTGCAAAGTGGCTGCTCTATGTCCTCAATAGCCTCACGAATTCCATCTTTGAGGTCTTGAATCGACGCTGGGCTGTTGGCGTACACCTTCTCTTTCACGTGGCCTCAAAGGAAGAATCACCTCTTCGAGAGATAACACGGTCCGGAAACTTTTCCCGTAAAAGATCAATGGTTTCGTTGCTTGTGTGGCACGTAAATAGCACCGTCTTGTTGAAAGTAAACGTTGTCCACATCAATACCATCCAATTCCGGCCATAAAAAATCATTAATCATCTCTCGATAGCGCAATCCATTCACCGTAACTGTTGCTCCAGCCTCATTTTCGAAAAAGTAAGGTCCAATGACTCCGCCGGACCATAAACCGCACCAAACAGTCACACGTTGAGGATAGAGAGGCTTTTCAACAATAACTCTTGGGTTTTCCGAGCTCCAGATGCGACAATTTTGCTTGTTGACGAAGCCATCGAAGTGGAAATGGGCCTCATCACTCAAGATGATTTTTCGATGGAATTCCGGATCATTTTCATGCATTTCAACGACCCAATCAGCAAAGACACGACGTTGTTGATGATCGGACGGCTTGAGTTCTTGTGTTAACTGAAGTTTATAAGCCTTAAGACCCAAATCGTTATGTAAAATACGGTGTAATGACGTTTGTGGAATGCCTAATTCCAAAGAACGACGAGGAATGGACAAACCTGGGTTTTCTTCAACACTTTCGGCTACAGCAGCATTATTCTCGGCTGTTCTTGAGCGACGTGCACGGGTTTTATTCTTCACATCAGTAACTTGTCCCAACAGCTCGAATTTTTCCACCAATTTCTGTATTGCGGTCCGACAAGGTGCTTCACGACGAGTTTTACGAACCGTCTCTGCCAAAATTTCACCATTTTTATAGTGAATTTTAATAATTTCAATGCGTTGTTGAAGCGTGTATCGTTCCATTTTTATTAATGGCGTACTTTCTACTTGTCAAATGTCAAAAAATGACAGCTTCAAAAGTGACATCTACCGAAATAACGGGCTATTCAAAATAACACCTCTTATTGGAAAACCTTTTATTTCAGAACGCTTATAACAATATTTTATTGTTTTGCTTAGCACGATTATTCCTTAATTGTTTTCTGTACAAGTTCCTTTTCGAAAATAGGGTTTGTGATACGTCTGTGCTAATCTTCCGATATTTGTGATAAGCTCATAAGTAACATTAATTTCATTAATTAATAATAAACTTTGTATTTCTTTTTTTGTATCGTTTATTAGATGTTTTTCCACCCTTGGTGAAAAAAGTTGGTAGTTATAGAACGGAAGACGCTTTAATGATGAACACGCGTGAAAATTAAAGATCAACAAAGAGCAAACATCACGTCTGGTAGGACGCGCCGTGGAGTTTATTTTTGTGAACATGATGGATAGCGTTAATTTGACACGGAGGGGACTTGGTTGGTCGTGCCGACATCTAACCTACGAAACCGCCACCCGCCTAATCAACGAAAACTAATTAAAATCGTTTAAAGGTTCAGCTTGTATCCTCAAATTAGAACACATGTATCAATTAGAAATTAAAACAGTATGTTTTCATCAATTGTTTTTTGATTTTTCGCTGAAATTAATAATTAACTTCGTTTAATAGCAACGAAATAAAAAATAAAATTGTAGAAGAAGATGAATGGTTTTGGTAGTTGTTTGCAGTTGGTTAGTGTTGGTTCGGATTTGGTGTATTCGGTGACGTTATTATGGGTCGTCATATATCAAAAGAAGCGGCTTGGATGTGTTCGCCGACGGCGGCGGCGGCAAATGAAAAGCAAAGGAAAAGTAACTCAGGAGAGGAGAGTTCAGCCGTTCGTTCTCCGAGCAAGAAGTTACGGTCCATTTCATCTACTAATGATGTAGACTCGCTGTCGTCTTCTTCGTCGTCGAAACATTCATTCACTCTTTCTTTCTTTGTGAATATGCGTACCTATAAGAGTAATTCAAAAGAAGATAACAAAACTAAAAGGCTACTTTTTGTTCCTTTAAACTAAATGTATATTTATAGTTTCTTTTAATATAAAAAATATTGTATACAATTTTCTCTTTACTTATTAGTTTTCGAATCTTTTAAGATATCTTGTAGCTTTAAAATGCGATTTTCTAAAGCAAGAAAATCTCTGTCGCTACTTCTTAAGCGAGATTTGACTCCTTTTAAAGAAGTTGGTTTATAACTTCGATCCGAATAAGAATTTTCCGACGAATTTCTTGAACTGCTTCTAGACCGTTTCGTTTCGCTTTTTAGATCTCTTCGTCGTCTCGATGAAGAAGACGAAGACGTCGTCGGGCTTTGACCATGATCAACGCAAGCCAAAGCGAAAAAAGTCTCCAAATTTCGTGAACTCGACGTGGAACTACTTCTAACACTTCTCGGTTTTGAAACCTTTTTTCTAACCCTTAAAACAAACGATGAAGCAAGAAGGAAGTTTTAATCGTAGTTTTTTACTTTTCGGTTTTTGGTTTTAAATTACATCCTTCACTTTTAACTTGTCTTGGAGAAATCGATCTTGCATCAAAATTTTTTCTTACATCTTCACTTTTTGACTTATTAGGAGAGGTTCTTCTAAAAATCGTTTGTAAACTTTCCAAGTCGGATTTGTCACGTTTGGGCTTAAACGATTTTGATCTATAATAAAATTTAAATTGATTAATTTGTGTACAAAGTTGGTAATGTCAAAAATAATTTTACTTGTTACTAATTTGATCTAAATGGGACCTTAAAGATTTTTCACTGCTTTTGCATCGCTCCAATTCATTAATTAACCTAATTTTATCGGTTCTTAACTTATCCACCAACCGATGATGCGATTTACGTTCGGATAAAACGCTTTTTTCTAAATTAATTATAGCTTTTTGCATCGATTTTAATTTACTTCTCGGTTCGTTTTCGTCAATTACACGATGGAGTTGACTTATTTCAGCTTTTAGGTCCGCATTTTCGAGTGTTAAATCATCTACGCTAAAAATTTTTGATAAAACTGAATGAATGTTAATAAATAATTAATAAAGTATAAATTGATTTACCGTTTTTCTAAAATTAAAATTTGATTCGTAGGTTTTAAATGTTTTGTTGAAAGTTCGTCTTTTAAGTTGCTTATTTCAGCTTCTAATTTTTGAATTGTTGATTGAAGGAGTTTGGGATCTGGTGGTCCACAATATTCTAATGGCAATGGATAATGAATTCTAAAAAAATTTAAATTTTATTTTGTTAAATTCTTTTTTTGCTCTTATTACCGATCAAATTCAACGCTGTATGTTATAATTAAATAGCGACGATTATTTCCGTGCGGGTTATTAAAATTTCTAGCAAAACACCTTAACTTTTTCGTTCTTAACGTGTCCAAGTCCTCGAAAGTTAAAAGTTGTAGTGATATTGAATCACTCGTCTATAATAATTGATAATCATTTATAATTTTGAAATGACATTCCACTTTTACCTTTAACAAACCGGATTTAATCATCGTTACAAAAACATCATATTGTTTAAAATTTCCAGTTTTGTGCGTTAAATTCTCAATGTCTATAAAAGTGTATAAAAAAATCAAGAATTAAAACAGCTTAGAACTTAAAATGTGTTTGTATGTGAAAATACATGCTTGGTCGTAGCTACATTGCCATTCTTCTCCGGATTGTTTATCGCAAATCACCAGTTCCAAACATTTATTGCTAATATTCATCTTTACCAAGTATTCTTTGCCTTGTAAAACTGCTGATGTGATTAAATTCGGTTCACTCATTGGCTTTTTGAAATTTTTTTCAAATGTGGTTTTAAAAGTTTTTATTAAATTTTGATATAAAAAATGTTATTGAGTATTTGTGTTAAAAATGTTATATTTTTATACATAACGTCGATGTCAATAAACTGACGTCTTATGAAGTTTTATTTGATTAAAATTACAAAAAAAAAACTTCTAAATCAGATTCTAAATATCTAATGAACATCACCAATGTTCTTGTACATTCTGGATGATCCTCCGAGTGGACTATTTATTTTGTTGACCACAATGAAAAACCTTTTCTTTGCGATATCCTAATCCTTATTATAATGTTGTCACCTAAATCAATTCAATGGGATTAAATTCGCAATAATATCTAGTTAAATCTGATTCGAACTGCTTATTTCGTCTCGCTTGAAACTTTCTACACTGAGAAAAATGATATGGAAAATTGAACTAAATCAATTTAGTTGTTAGACAAATAGTCATTTATGCTAGAAAATTTATTCATTTACCTAACGTAATTTAGCTGACATATACAATTCTAATTAGTCAAATTTATGATAGTTAATTTATCTATTTACTGAGGTGATATAACTAATTTTTAGAAAAAGAAACTACATCGTGATAAGTCTAGTTGTTGAGTAGTTTAGTTACCTAAAGTATTTGGTATTTTTGTTTATTTTGTTCTAGTCTGAATTTCTATATACATTTAACAATGAAATATTTTACCTAAATGGACAAATGTACTATTATTAAATACTTTATTTAAATGTATTTTAGTCGTTTTGTCTACCTGTTTTCACCGTTACATCGATCGTTTATAGAAAATATTTCTTAATACAAAAATTGCTTTTTCATCATCGAAAACGATCGATAAAGCATCTGTTTTTGAGGATTCGCAACCAACTTACAGTTACAAACTTTCTTCCTTATTACAGTTACAAACCTGTAAGACTGTACTCTTGTTTTGTTAGAGGGAAGTCCACTAATATTAATACGTTTTGTGGTACTCTCAGTCGTCACAAGTCGTCATTAACGTGTTCAGGTATTCGGAGTGTTTTTACGATTTGGTAAGAAATAAAAATGGATGTGCAAGTTCAAGATACTGTAACTACTTTGTTACAGCAGTGGGAATTACACGTATTAATTTCAAGGCAAGTATTTAACTATGTTTTCAATTGTATTGTTATATACAGTAGAGCGTCGATAATCCGGATTAATTGTGACCGGACCCTGTCCGTATTATCAAAATGACCGAATTTTCGAAAAGAACCAAAAATAATCCACTTTTGTGGTTAAATAATTGATAAATAGATAAGTAATTAATATTAACTTATTATAATTTCATTATATCATTATAAATTTCACAGAACGTGGGAAATCCCCGCGTTATATGGGAGAAAACACGTATTATACAGAGACATGAAATTGCATAGTATGAAAACGCGTTATAAGAATACCGTGTTAAATGGGGAATCACTGTACTTTGTTTTTTGTAAATACAATCAGAAAAAGAGAAATACATTTTTTTTTTCATCGGTATTGAATCTGGATTATCGACGGCAAACATGTTACTTGTAGCTGTATAAGTGTTTTAAAGGCAGCTCTGTATATGGTATGTGTTATGTTACAGCATCATATCCGACGTCCTTGCAGAACTTACTACCAACGATATTGATCATTTAATTCCTGCAGAACAATTCGGTCTACGAATTAAATTTAGAAAAAAACTTTTTGTGTGGAAACAACTCAACGTAAGTTGACAGCTATAATCTATAAGTGCCATCATTATGCCACAATCTATAAGTTTATTTTCTTTAAATGCTTTTTATAGGGATTAACAACACCCCTGGCAAGTACAATTACTGCATCGAATTCATCATCATCAACAGTAAATAATTGGATAAATACTAATATAATAGATACAGATGAAAATGGTAATCCTGAAAATCAACCGATCTTTGTAAGTTGTTTTATATTCCAGTTTATTTCCTAAATCATAGATGTATTTATTTTAGAAGTTAGAAAATCTCTTATTAAAATCGGTTAGTGGTCAGTTAATTTTATCAAAATATAAAGTTAGTGGATTAAGTTCGAAAAATCGAAATATCCTTACCACGAAAATCGTGGAGGATTGGTTAGCCAGTGACACATCTGTAGATCGCCAATTGTGCCAAAATGTCGCAAAGGAAATAAAAAACCTATTCCCATTAGAATTGGAGGTACGTTTCCAAATTAAAACTACCAGTACATGATTTTTTATGTTTTTAATTTCATGTGCCTTTCAGGTAACGTATTTGGGTACCAAAAAACAACGGGGAAAACTAATAGAAAAATATTATTCCCTTCGAAAGAAGTATAAGCATTCGCTTTCTATCGGACAGAAAAGAAAAACGGGAAACGTTACTGATACCTCTAACGAAGCAGATACTGATGAAGAGACGTTTGACATAAATACATTTAGCGATTATGAATGGTTAAAAAACAACTACTCCCCAAACGATATAGTGTTTGAAAAGTGGATAAGCACGTTTAATGTTCGACAAAAAGACGTTCATGACAAATCAATAGATGTTTTTACAAAATAGCCTATTTTAGAACAAAACATTGCTGTAGCACTGGTAAGTTGTTTCTTAGTTGTAGCAAAATGTATAAAATCATTAAAATAACTTAATTTTCAGATTGAATTAGATTTTGAAAAATTGCATCCAAAACGAAACACACTATTATTTTCCAAGTGGGCGATATTTGATACCTTTATAAAAAATATATACCATAGAGATATAAAAGATAAAAAATCTCGCACACTTTTCAATTTATTACTGTCATCTAACTTAAATGAAGGTTTGTTTTGTATTTTTTGGTTTGTTTTCTTATTTATATAGACATTTTAGATTCAAAAAATTACCTCTTAATTATAAATCTGAATGCCATACTTATTCCTGCTCTAATTAAAACTGGACAAGACATTTACAGACCAACAATACTAGATGGCCAAGAAAGTTTCGCCTATTATTTAAAGGTATATTTAAAATTAATTTCTTATAATTATAATTTCTTTTATAGTTTGTGTTCTTGATAATATATGTATTCTTTATAGTTTAAGAAAATTAATTGTTGATATTTAGTGTAATTACTACAATATACTTGAAAATATATTTGTTATATATATGTATACTTGTTTTTTTTTATAGATATATCTTGATAAAGTATCTAGTGATACGGATATGAATAATAAACATTAATAGACATTTTAAACACAAAAAATGATCAAAAGATTTACAATATTTTAATAAACGAACTATCGCCAATATTAAATTCAACTATTTGCAGTAGTTAATATAATAACTACTGCAGTTAATATAATATTATTATATAATACATCAAAACAATATTGTAATAACGCCTACCAACAATGGGATATTTTGACTACAAATCGTCGATATTACAGTGAAAAATTTAGGTACGACGTCTATATTTAAGTAATAAAGCTATCTACTACCATTAATAATAAAATAATATTAATAGTAAAAACATCTATTAATATTATATAATGAAACTAATTTTATTAGGTATTTATAAGATACATTTTTCGATCATTTATCTATCTTAAATTATCGAAATAGAATTAGTTTATATAACTAGTAGTAGTAGTTAGCTAATTTTTGACTATACATTCTAGATAATATGACTAAATTTTAGGTAGTTTTCCCACATTATTTTTCTCAGTGTACTGAACTTAGTCTGTAAATGGTAATCAACGCCACTTCATGAATATGAAGATTGAGAGATGGTAGTCTTCAATTAGTCTATTTAGAGATGCGATGGCAGAAGTGTATAAAGTCTTTTTTGTAATTCGCGACGACAATGAAAGCTATTACAGTACTCAAACGGGTGCTGTAATGAGACTCCTTACAGCATCCGATGCTGTAATGAGATTTTAGTAACATTTTATGTAACCAATTCAAGTTGGTGACATTGGGTCATTAATTTTTCTAATTGTCAATGTGACAATTTTTGTCTATGGATGTTTAAACACGTTCTTAGCATGGAATACAAGGCCCACAATGAGCAATTTCTCTTATTTTGGGAGGTGTACATGAAAAATTGTTTCGGGTGAATACATTTTGTGTTTTGACAATTTCTAATTGTCAATTCAAATTTCTATTTTCAAGTGTTACCAACTGCTACATACCTATTTCCCTACATTGTCAAAATTTATTTTATTTTTGTTAGAAAAAAGGATAAAAACGCGAATTACAAAAAATAACATAAAAGACACGTTTCGTAAAACTTAAAGCACTCATTCATTAAAAAACTCGTGGCTTCGCCTGTCGTTTTTCAACTTGAATTCGTGCATTTCAAGCGTGTCTTACGAAACTAGTTTTTTAATATACTATTTGAGTTGGTTATAAAATAACCAAATTAACGTTGTCTTAGCAAAATTAAGTAACTTAATAAAAATCCCTAAAGACCTATGGTAGCTCACGGAGCCATAGTTTGGTGGTCGTACTCCACGACTGCCCAGGGCGAAATAACTGCTATAAATATAGCAGCCAATGTGATTAGCGACCTCAAAAAAAGTTGGCAGAAACGTTGTAATCTACACAGATAGCAGATAGGCTATGCTGGCGGTTAGTAGGCATCGAACTACATCATCGTTAGTAAAGTCCTGTCGGCAATCATTTGAGGAGGCTAACGTTATAACGACGCCAACGTCACGATAAAGTGGGCTTAAAGTGGGACAGGTTGGCGAAACGGGCAGCTAAGAAGTCACCGGTCTCCCCAGAACCGTTTGTACCTCTAATTTTTAATACAGCACCAAAGCTGATCAACTCCATCTTCCATCAAGCTCTTTGCGTCTTTGCAAAGAAAACTGTACTCTACCCTGACCGGAAGAGATCTACTCAGTTCCTGGGAAAATCAAAAAGTGACTTGAGGCTCCTCACTCACTTCCTGACCGGACTCTACAGGTTACTTAAGCACATGTTCTACATGAAGCTAGCAAATATATCCCTCTGTAGAGGGTGTGAAATGGAAGACGAGACGATAAGTCATATTTTTTGTTACCATAGCCCCAAATTTCGGATATAAAGAAACATTCATTAAAACCTTGGCCTGGTTTTCTGATTCCTGAATGAACTATAAAATGTGGGGATGTACAAAGGGCCCGTTGGGGCCTAAGTGCTGGGAATTCACCCCCACGTGAAGCTACATACATACAAAAACCCCTATTACTATTGACGTTTTTGTTTTCGTTATTTTAAATTAAATATTACTAAGCTTAATTCATCCTCTACCATAAAGCATCTTCTTCTTATTGTTATTCTTGTCCCCATTCTACAATATGTTGTTGGGATTCGCATCCATCTCCTGTACGTGTTACTATCTCTAGCCATTCTTCGTACTTCGGACACTGCATTCCCGTCTTTTTCTTCCTTCTCATTTCATATTGAATACTTTCTTTGGACACCCATACGAAAGCTCTCAGATTTAGCTATTTTTTGACACTCTTGTTTCGTACTCTTCTAGGTTTACCTACCATTATTCGTAGATACTACCTTTTTTTAAATTATTGATTGGTGTCTGTCTAATATTATCCAAGTTTTTGACCCGTAGGTGAGTGTGGGTGTATAAAAGGTTTAGCATAGGTGTAATTTTGCTTTAGTGCTTCGTTCTTTCTAGCCTTGATTTATTTTGTCATCATTACTAATCATGGTTCCAAAATATTCGTATTTTTGAACTATCTCTAGTTGTTGTCCATTTATTCTTACATCTACGATTTTTCCTCCTTTTTCCTTTATAACGTGGGACCTTGCTTTTGTACTTGTTTATTATCATTTCAGTTAAGGAATGTTAGGTAAGGTTAGTTTTGTTTACAAATGTCAATCATCTCGGGAAAGAATGTTGAGTAAGGTTAGTTTTCTTTTGTAATGTCAATTATACCGTGAAGACATCATTCGTTCCGGTTAAATATGTTGAGTAAGGTTAGTTTTCTTTTGTACGTCATTCGTTCCGGTAAAGAATATTGGGTAAAGTTTGGTATATCATGGTTCTAACAATCTATTAGACATTTGATTAGTTTTATGTTTCCTAACAGACAACATTTCCTATCAGTAGTTGGTTATTAATGCAAAAATCTATCATTCTTTTGCCATCTATTTATTTCTCCATCTCGTCTACTAGTTCAACAATCTTTCTACGATGCGTTCTTTATTTCTTTCCATCAATTATACCTCGTGTGGATGATTGGAACAAATAATAATAATATATCTTTATTGTGCCTTCCACAACTACAAATAACATTCTACATATTTCCATTTCATAATATTAAATTAAAGAAGGAACACAATGAGCGGGTTCCAGACAATGTCTGCTCATACCAACCCAATTGGTTGCAAAAAAGAACAAAAAATTAAGCAAAAAAGAAAACATGAGAAAAAAAAATAAAAGAAAAAGAAACATATAAAATAAATTATAAAATACTTAGGCTCACTTTTACCACCTCCTGATAAATTTATCCGGTAGATAAATCCAGTGCTTAGCCAATGAGAGCGCTTAAAACCGCCGTAACCATGGCAACTATCCTCTAGATAGTTTATCAGGAGGATGGTAAAAGTGGGCCTTAATCAAGTAAAGCAAATAAAAATTTTATACTGATAAATATCCCAGCATCATATATTATTCTCCCCCTTGCTGCTGTAACCTCAGCCGCATCAAACTCTTCCTGAATGTACCTAAGCCCAGAGCAGTGGGGTAGCGAACATAACTGGTGCCCGGGGCACGACATTGTATTGGCGCCCCCTCCAGAAAAGATATAACAATTATCCGAAATATTTTGTATGTGATGGAGATTATTTGGCGCCCCCCTGCAAGTGGTGCCCAAAGCATGATTGACTCCTTTGCCCCCCCCCCCCCCTTCGCTACGCTACTGGCTCAGAGTTCGCATGTCATTTGGCAATTTATTATAAGATTTGTAAATGTGATAGCTGTAGATTCTTTCAAATAGAGACGTCCGATGTTTTGGTGGATATATAGGATTGTTTAATCTCGTAACATATGGGTTTGTCGCCGGTTTGAACTTAATTTCTTTATACAGATATTCGGGCTTACATGAGATTATAATTTTATGGAAAAGACATAAGCTATGAAGATCTCTTCTTTGTTTCATTGACAGCCATTTTATATCTTTCAGCTTATGAGTAATTCTATCAAATTTTCTGATACCATAAATATACCTCAGACAAGTGTTTTGCACTCTCTGTATGCGGTTAGAAGTCACCACATCAACAGCCGGGTTGACACCATAAAATATAAGACGCAATTTATGATACCTCCCCATTGCAAAAAATGTGTTCTGACACATTTGAATGCATTAATTACTTTGCAACTTCTATGCTCTGCTAATTTGATTTTTTTTGACAATAATATCCCCAATTTCTACCGAACCCAAAAAAATTGATAATAACGGGTGACAAAAATTGAGAATCAATAAGCAGAAATGGCGTTAAGCAGAGAATCCGGAATTTAAAGCTGGAGGGAAAGAATGATGTATCTTCTTGCGTAGTGTATGAAGACTTTTTTGAGTCACTATATTAATATAAAAATGTTACGAAAATTGAAAACAAAATGGGACTAAGTGCTCATTCACCGGACCAGGCAATTCAAACGTTTAAGCCGTTCAAATCGCCTGGAGAAGACAATATCTTTCCTGCTTTGTTACAGCAGGGGAGGTCTTTGTTGTTGCCAATTTTGGTAAAAATTTTCAGAGCGACTGTCGCCTGGAAATATGTGCCGGCAGAATGGACTAAGGTACGGGTATCTTACATACCCAAAGCGGGCCGTTCGGTCCCCACTCCTAATGCCTTTCGACCCATCAGCCTAACGTCATTTCTGCTGAAAACCCTTGAAAAAGTTCTGAAACGGTATATCCGTACGGTGCCATTGGTATCTGGTCCACTGAGTCGCCACCAGTATGCTTATCAAGCGGGAAAATCAGCAGAATTGGCTCTACACAACTTAGTTGGTAGAGTATCCAGGACGCTGCAGGATAAAGAAATCTTGGTTTGTGCGTTTCTGGATATAGAGGGAGCGTTCAACAACGCAATACCACAATCTCTTGAAAGAGCTGCTCTTGACAGTGGAGTGGAAGCAACTATAGCGGGTTGGATCCGCAATATGCTAGATAGTAAAATAGTTTCTACTTCACTCCACGGTGATACGATACGCTTCAGGCCGGGAGGTGGCTGCCCGCAGGGAGAGGTGTTATCTCCCCTGCTTTGGTCCCTCCTAGTTGACGATCTGATTGCGATAGTCGAAGCCGTTGGTGTGGAAATACAAGCTTATGCTGATGACATTGTCGTTATGGTCAAAGGAACCTGTTTGCCGAGGATATCTAAAGTCCTCCAGGTGACCCTAGATACCATTTGCGCTTGGTGTAAGGGAGAGAAC